AAAATGCATAATTTGAATCCTAAATATGAGTATAACAAATTTCAAATATTTGTAAAGCGCAATTGTCGCTATGTGCTTTTTGCATATCATTTCCATAATAGCATTTTACTCCTATGAATTGATAATTTTAACCAAATGATATGAAATTTGAGCTAAAATTTATTTCAGCCATTTAAATTTAATGTATGCCGGAAATGTTTCTTTTTTTCATAAATCGTAAATTCAAAAATTTCCGGAAAATATCATCAGCTATAAATTATTTTCTAAATAATTTTGTTTTTTTCTTTTTTCTTTTTTATTTTTTCAATTTCTCTTTTCTTTCAATTTTATCATAACATATAATAATTAAAAAACTATAAAATTCCAATAAATAATTTATGTAAGTTTAATAAATTATTTTAACAAAAATGAAATTAAAAAAAAAATTTCTAATTTTTGTCAAAAAAAAAATTTGTTTATTCATAAAATTTTGAATAGCAAAAAATAACAATCAAATTAGTGAAGATAATAATGAAATGAAGATAAGGCAAAAGAAGAAGGAGAAAAAAAAAAGAAATGATAGGTATTTACCGGTTTCACCAACTTCGGTAATGCCATGCGTTTTGACAACTTGTTCAACAAGTTGACGTAAACCGGCACGATTCTCCTCACCTTCAAGCATTTTCCGATAAATTGCTATTTCAGCATCTAAAGTCTGAAATTGATAGAAAAAAATTAACAATGAATATTTCGAAATTTAGCTATTTTGAATCTTTTCTTTTTTTAAAAAATAAATAAATTCACTTTTTTTTGATCCTTTTTTTTCACCCAATTTAAAATTAGATGTTAGTAATTAATTGTTTTTCCAATTAATTATTGTATATTAAAATTTTAGACGAAAATAATTTCCTAATAGAAACTTTTTTTTTCTAGTTTTTTTATTTTAATATTGTAATTGATCGAAAAAAAAAATTTCAGTGTCTTAAATTTTGATAGCAAATTAAAATCAAACATTGAGTAATTTGAATGAAAATTGTCTTTTCAGCTATAAGGCAGTTATTTATGTTTAATTAATGATTTCATCAATAATATATTTTGGTTAGAAGTGAATAATTAATGAGTAATTAAAATCTAAACGTACTGTATCGAACATAGTCAGAGTACTGTATAAAAGTAATACTGAATAAATGTCTCTTGGAAAATATTATTCAATATCTATGCTTAATGAATGATTATATTGATACAAATAAACTTTTTCTCCTTCATTAATGAGGATAATTAATGGATAATAAGATCTACATGTATCGTATTAATAGTAAATGAGTAAACAAGATTTACACGTACCGTACTGTTAGCCGAGTACTGTATACAGGTGATACAGTATGAAATTTTTTAGGTATGAAAATTTAGTAAAGTTTCATTCCTGATTAAAACTTCGCAATATTTAATATTTCTCTTGTATATTCAATTTTTCGACTGAATTTTGTTAAAAAATGAAAAATTAATTAGCATATTGACAAACTTGTTTGGTATCTAAAAGCATTTGTAATTCCATCATTAACGCTTGGCATTCTTCACGCATTTTCCGGATTTGCGAATCCCGATCATTCAGGGCAGCTTCATAAGATCGTTGATCATCTTCCAGTTGATAATTCAACTCTTGCATTTGCTTCTCTAGCAATGAATTCTGTAATTCAAATTTCTTTTTTTTTTTAAAACTTATTCAAATATTTCGTATAAAATATCATTCATTTTGCATTTTATATCATCAGAAATTTTTATTTTTAAAATTTTTGAAAAAAATATATTCGAAAAAAAGAAGAAAAAGAGAAACACTACAAATAAAATTGAACAAAATTGTCTATTAATTTAAAATTTATATTTTTATGTGAAATTTTTTCTAAAATTGAAAAAAAAAGCAAACATTTTTAAATAGTATTATTTAAAATTTTAGCTTTTCCAAAATTTTTTATTTACTTTCAATTTTATCATTTCATTTCTTTTTATATATAAATCAATTCAAATTAAAAACTAAACATTGTAAATATGTTGAAATTTTTTTGCACGTAATTTAATAGATTTTGCAAATATTTTAGGTAAAAATTTGTTAGATGAAGAAATGAAAGTTAATTTTTATTTTTCAAAAAATTTTTTTTTAAATGTTTAAAAATTTCATTTTTCTAAAATTATTTTTTTATTTTTTATTTTTATTTAAAGCAATAAATTCTTATTATTTTTTACCTTCTTTCTAATCAAATATACATTCTTTTTTCTTTCCTTTTATTTTTTTTTTTTTTTTTGTTTTTTAGCTTTTTATTACTTTACTAAGAAAAGAAAAAGTACAAAGATTAATTCCTATCAAAAGATTAATCATTTTAATAAAATGATTAATTAAAATAAATACGATATACTATTACTTACACGTCCTTCAAGATCGGCTAATTTACCGCGAAGATCGGAAAGTTGTACACGTAATCGTTTCACTTCCTCTCGAGCATAACCTTGTTCCAAATTTTGTCTTGTTGATTGAGTTTGAATTTCTTGTACTTTTAATTTATACCATGATTCCATATCCGTTCGATTCATATTGTATATCTATCATTAGTAATAGAAATTTAATTTGATAATTTCATATTAATAGAAATTTAATTTGATAATTTCATATTTTAATTTGTAATAATTGATAAATTTAAAAAAAAAGAAGAAAAAAAACGAATTTTCATTTTTCTCCAATTAACAATTTCAGTATGTATGCATGCTCTAATTAGTAATTTTAGTAATTACTTTTGAAGAAAAAAAAATTGTTAGCAATTTTAGTATGTGCTCTAATTAGCAATTTCATTTATTTATGCATGCACTAATTAATAATTCTAGTAATTATTTATTGCAAGAGAAAAAAAATTAAAGGATATTCAGTATATGCGCAAATACTACTTAATAATTCTGGTAATTAATATGCTAATTAATAATTCTATATACTAATTAATAATTCATATACTAATTAATAATTCTTACTTATTGCAAAAAAAAAAAAAAAAATTAAAGGATACTTGATCATATTCAGCACGAATATCACGAATTGCCGATGAAAGCTCATTTTTAAAATATTCACGATTTTCCGGTGTTGTATCACGTGCAGCCATAGCTTGTAATTCACTAATTTCCTGATCATGTACACGACGCATGAAATCAATCTCTTCCAGTAATGTTTGTACCTGATTTTGAAAATCGATCCGATTAAGTGTTTCCTGATCCAAATCCTGAAGAAAGGAAAAAAAAAACAATCGTAAAGATCCGGATATATCCTACCAACTATTAATACATATATTATATTTTAGTTTCATTTTAATTAGCTATTATCTGGATTCTCATTAATAATCCTTTTCAATAACCTATAACCTTTTTTCATTTTTTGTAAATTTTAAAAAATTAATTAACTCAATCATTCTAATACATAAATGTTGTGTAATTAAAAAAAAAAAACTGCTATTAATTAGATCTGTTATTATTTTTTAGATTTTAAAATATCTGATAATATTAGCAACAATATTAGCAAGGTCAAAAGCTTAAGGTCATATTGAAAAGGTCAACTGAGATAACATCTTTTAGATGCAAAATATAAGCTTTACTAACCGTTCTTGCCTTAGTAAGTTCATTGGCAAGTTGTAAATTATTACGTTTAATACGACCGATTTCCTCTTCCAAATTACTGACACGACGTCGTAAAAGGTTAATTTCGGTTTCCAAACCGGATAATTTACCTGTATTATTGTTTTAGAAATT